GTTTGAATTACACCCCACCTGCTAAATTTACCCCTTCCACCAATTTACACACATGCATATACAAAAGTGCAGGATGTAGATGAACAAAAAATGTTGGGATATTTTGCTGTGTGCAGCGGCAGACTGTGTTTAGAGGCAGGTTCTGCTCAGAGGAAATGTTTGGGGTCTGCCTTGTGTCAGCTGCAGCCATTGGTGTGGATTACCTGTGGGCGTCATGATGATGAAGGGGCTTCTGGAGCTCGGTGAAGTGTTTATGACCAAAAGGCGTTGTTGCATGTAACTAATCAGGCCTGACGCTGGTAGGCGAGCAATGCTTCTTTGGAAGTACCCTTTGAAAGGCAATGCAACGATGCTTAATGATGTGTAGGATGCAAACCGTCAGCGGATGTTGCAGTGACATCACACAGCTGCTGGACTCAGAGGTATTTGGAATGACCAAGATTGGAGACTTGGCGGAGATGCTGGGGGTAGCCAATTTTTGTTCTATTTATTGTTGTAACCTAAGTAGGAGAAGTCTAGGTAACCTCTGTACTTTATTTCAAGTGGACAGAATAATAAATCCTGCTGCAACAAATGGTTTGTTTCAAGCCGCCTGTTATTTTATCATCACATTCTGCACAAGCGTGATGGATAAGCTACGGATCCTAGTTGTTTGCACGAGTGGATAACATGCCAAAGCAAACACGTGCAGTACTTAAAAAAGAAAAAAGAAAAGAAAGTGAAAAATGCGGTGAGAGGCAGGCAACATAATTCTGCAGCAGATCCCGGATCGGTGGGTTCACACTGAGGTGAGACAGGCAAGATGTAGAACAAATAAAAACACCCCTGAAAAGTCTTCAGCTAAATAAATTATGTGCAAGGACTTGTAAGCTTGCACTTCATGAAGTGGTGAAAGCTCAGAGTTCCTCCCTGGCCTGTCTGGAGCGACGTGGCCTGGAGCCAGAGTCTTTAATTCCTCTGTCAAACAGCACCTCATGCATCTCTATAGCTGTTACTGTAACTGAAAGTCTCATCGTGTGTGCTCATCACTGGATTTTCACCACCAATTTGGATCTGTAGGATGGCATCAAAAGAGCTTAAAAAATTATAAAAAGCTTTGTTCTGCTGAAAGAAAGAAAGAAAGAAAGAAAGAAAGAAAGAAAGAAAGAAAGAAAGAAAGAAAGAAAGAAAGAAAGAAAGAAAGAAAGAAAGAAACGATGTCATTACAAAAGGGGAAAAGCAGAATTTCTCCCAAAGCCACTCTTGTGTAGCAGGTCCTTGCAATTCTGAGCAGCCTCTAATTAGGGTAGTATTCAGGGGTGGCATTAGTTCCCAAACTTTTTAATGGGGTGGAAAGCGGAGCTCCTTTTAGAGAGAGTGGATAAGTGTAGCCACTGTGCCATACACTGAATAGCAGATGGAGAGATTCTGCACCTCCTGGGAGGTATTCACTTTTTTTTTACATTGCTCCTTAAACTCCCCACTTTTCCAACCAATCTTATTTTTAATTTTTTTGTTTTTGTTTTTGTATTTTACTTAGTTTTTTTTATACACATCTGTCTTCACATCTGCAGATACCACAAGCTTCAGGCAAGTTGTTCTTAGAATTTCGAAAACATAATTTAACGATCAAGAGTCGAAATTGAGTTTCACACTTTCACATTTACTGTGATGTTGATCACAAAGTGTGTCCTTTTTCTACATTTTCTAATAAATGGTTTCTTCATTTTCCTTCATTTATATCAGATGCTAAATAAAAATCTAATGAAATCTTGTAAATACTTAATTTAATATCTGAAAAACTTAAAACAAATGTTTTATGTGCTTTTAATTCAGAATCTTTAATGATTCTTTTAATCAGCATATTTTCCTTATTTCTTTCTTTATTTTTTGGCATTTAACATAAATAGAAACTGGTAGAAGACAGTCTTTCTAATATATTGTCTTATAGAGGTTAACAACGTCTTTTTTTAACGTTTTTTTTTAAAACATAATTACAAAATAGTGATAGAGGTGATTTTTACTATATGGAAACACACACATACACGCGTTAACAACGTTCTTTCCCTCATTGACGACAAAAGACTTCTGGCAAGGCTTCACGCAGATGGGATATAAATAATTTCACATTTTACAAATTAAAACATGAAAAACATGAAAAACATGACTCTATATACATACATACATATATATATGTATATATAGTTTGAACTTTTTTTTTTATTTTTTGATATAAACTTTGTTATTATTTTTAAGCAAATGACAAAATGCTTCTTACATTCCGTTTAGATAATTAATAATAATTAATAAAGGCCTCTTGAATATTATCATACGCTTATATTTTTCTCTTTCCAACTGTTCTGTCGTGTCTGTTTTATTTTGTACGGTTGCAAAACACATTTTATCCCAATACAACTGACTATGAATCCTATTTTACATCAGGTTTTCACCTCAAATCCATTCGATATGACCTTTCAGAGTAGCTGTGCTGCACTCTCTTGTTTGTGTGTGTGTGTGTGTGTGTGTGTGTGTGTGTGTGTGTGTGTGTGTGTGTGTGTGTGTGTGCTTAGTCTGCTGTCTGAAATGTCGAGGTTAAGAGTGAGCGAAATAACTTATTGGTCATCTTAAACAGAAGTCGTTAAGTGTCCTTACTTTCTTTGAATTATAGATTATTAGCACTGCGCTGAATGGCTTTTACGCATGTTCCCAAAGTTTTAGTGTCTTTTATGGGCTGAGTGTTTTTGCTTTATCCCCTCTCCTCATGACCTGTGACCCCCAAGTATCGGCTGCTAAACTGAGCTTCAGTCATGCTCACGGAGGCTGATGACCACATGATCCGTGACATTTCGTGAAAAGACCCTTCTTTAACACAACTGCAGGACTGTGTGCTGCTGTTGCAGATCATCGCAAAACATTCATTGAGATCATTTCTGAGTTCGGCTATTTGATCCACAAAATAAGCTTTACAAAACGTTTCTCTCTCTCTCTCTCTTAAGCGATTCAACTATTCTTTTTCTCCCGAAGAGTATCACTATCAATTACTTTTCTTTTTTTCTTTTTTTCTTTTACATAGACAGCAAACTTTCTGATCAGTCTCTTACGCTTTCTTTTATATATTATTTGGCATTTTTATTATTATGGCGGCACTGGAGCCAAAGTAGTGAGTTAGCAACAGAAGTTTCTAGTGTTTTAAAAAAAAAAATCATTATTCTGCTTAACATCGTAAAATTTAATTTTCAATTTAACGCGTAGATATTAATTTTTCATGAACTACCTTAACCAGGAAAATCAGTGCACACTTTACTATTAGATAAATAGATATATTACCATCTGGCGTCTTTATGTAGCAGCTTCTCTTGAGATGCACTGTATTTTTGACATAACTGGCAAAATTATACTCATGTATATATTACCATATATATATGTGTATATCTGTAATATTATCGTAATTAAAACAGTGTCGTTTTTCAAGTATAGTGCCCTGAATACAAGGATAAATTCTTCCTATGAATGCAATTTCTAAATTATAACGGAGCCCTGTTGCATAGTTTGGATTCACTCTTAGTCTCTAAAAGAAGAACTCTTAACGTTAATCGGCAGAGCAAATGTGCAGAGAAACTATGTTAAAAAAGAACAGCAGCTTAACTGTAGTGAGTTTAGTATTATTCAAATAAAATCCTGTAGAATAGAGATGTCTAATGTCAAACACGGCGTGCAGACCCATGAGAAGGAAACTCAAACACACATTTGGTGTAAAAATCTGCTTTGAATACCCGGATATTATATATATATTACAGGCCGTATACAGATGCTATTTAAACCCTGTAGGCTAGGCCTTAATTACAAGCCACTGCTCAGCAGACACAATCTCGAGTACATGCGTTATTATAATGTTTTGCATCACGTTCATCTCTTCATTTTCGCTGTGTAACCTCCTGTATTTGTAAACAAGCCCACACAGTACAATTGACCTCCTTCCCTGCTATAGTCACTCTCACTCTCCAGAGTGTAAGCGCGTGCGTGTACCTTTTTCTCTCATTGCGTGTTACATCATCACGCAATAGCTGTTCTCTCGTGGCCTAGTGAACTGGCTCTAAGCGCTGCACCAATTTAGCCATTCTACTACACACACGCACACACACGTTGCTTTGAATAAAGGGAGGCAAACGCACTTACAGTCACGGAAGCAGCAGGGCTGTACAGTACAGGCAACATTATGAAAGCTTATAAAAATTTTAAAAAGCACAGCTCCGACAGACACAGCATCACGACAGCGCAGGTGCTTGGGAAGGCTTTTTCTTCTTTCCTTTCAAGTGTCAAATTAAATTACCTGTGTATTTAAAAACAACACAGTCTGCTTGGATCCATGTGTTAGTGGGTTCTTGCGTGTGGGGCAAATAAAGTTGCATTAAGACTGTCAAACACTGAAAACGGTGAGTGGATTAAAGGTGATTCTAACCTCCGAAACATCGTGAGCGCTGTTGACTTCAGGAGCAACATTTCATTTTTCTCTCGGGTCTAATACGAGCAGATAATGAAATTCTGGATGAGTAGTGTTTGCTCAAGAGCCCAGGCCGCCTGTCGACACCAGCACCGGGATAATCGCTGAGCTGAAGCAGGCAGAAATACAGCCCCTGTCTCACCCCTCCGACACACTCCTGTCCGCTCACTGTAATTACGAGGATGAGTGTGAAAGAGGTCAGATGGACACGCAGGCCCTGTGTGCGCATGTTCCAAAGGGCACAGCAATGACTTTAGAGTGCAGTCAGATTTAATGCATTTGTAAATATTATCAGACTGGCACGCACATGTGTGTGTGTGTTATAAAGAGTTGTGTGTGTTTCTTAAAGCCATTCAGTGGTTACTATATTTGGATCATACAGTTATAGTTAACACATCCGCAGTGTAAAGACACAACAACATCAGCAACACGTCTGTTTCAACAGTAACCGCCAAGAAAGCTCAACATCAATTCATAAATTTATTTCCAAACAAATTGCTTTTTTTCTTCTTTTTTTGCAAAACGAAATTTATTCTTGTTGGAAAAAAACAAAACAATAAACTGTGTAAAAATATCACACTTGAATTACACAATACTTGCCAAAAATGTACAAGGTTTAATTACTGAAATAAACACTGCATATTATTATAAATGTATGACTTTGCTCTGCGTTTCTCTTTAATACAAACATCAAATCAAAACCTTCAAAAAAGGTCGCTTTGATTGGCTGATAGAAAACATTGATGTGTTTGACACAAATACATTATAAGCCTGTTTCAGACACGTGATCGTTTGTAACCTGTCCGTTATCCTGAGACGCCTTTATACAGTGACTGAAAACGAATCACTTCATGGTAGGGAAAAAAAGGCTGGAAAGTTAAATTCGTGGTCGAAAGTCTGATTCACACCGAAATAAACAAACAAAAATAATGAACATAAATATATCTTCATGAACAGCATGAATATATAGGCACAAATAGTGTTCTGCATGTCCATCATTCAGCTGCGTGCTAGCAAAACAAACATACAAAAATAATCCTACCTTCAAAGAGGGGCGTTTTTGTTTAGGTTGCTGTCTCTTTTTTTTAAGTGTCTTGAAAAGTTTGGAGTTAAGACATTTAACAGGCGCTAGTGCCGCTGACAACTCTGCTCGGAAAGTTTTCAACCGGATGTAAAACAGCTCCAGGATGTATGGTCTGCGGCTGGCTGGTCACTGCAGGCCCCAGAGAGGACGGTAAGACTGGGACAACGACAGGAGAAGTCCTGGAGGGGCTAAGAGACCCTCCGATGATGCTCTCTATGGAGAAGGGGGACCGCTGCACCGGGGAGCTCGATTTCTGGACCGGTGATGTTGCCTGCACGCCGGCTGAGCCCAGACTGGAGCTGAGCTGGGGATAAAATCTACTTCTGGTTAAGTCCGTGGTAGTGCTGGTGGGCATCAGGGACGGTGCAGGGATAATGGTCCCCGAGTGTGAGTGTGAATGCCTCGGGTGCTGCTGCTGCTGCTGCTGGAAAGCAAAAAGCGCAGAGTGTGCGTGGTAGGACTGGAGCTGGATGCCGTATCCCCCGCAGCCGTACGGTCCGTAGCCATAGGCAGCGGCCGCGGGTAGAAAAGTGTTGTGCTCGCGCAGCAGGTCTTGAGTCTGCTGCCGCTTGAAGCGTTTCCTCCGCCTCAGAAAGCTTCCGTTGTCAAACATATCAGCCGACTCCGGGTCCAAAGTCCAGTAGTTGCCTTTCCCTGGGTTCCCGGGCTCCCTCGGTATCTTAACGAAGCAATCATTGAGGGATAGGTTGTGCCTGATGGAGTTCTGCCAGGCCGGGAACTTCTCCCTGTAGTACGGGAAGCGGTTGCTGATGAAGTCGCAGATCTCGCTGAGAGTGAGCCTCTTTTTGGGACTCTGAAGAATGGCCATGGTGATTAAGGCGATGTAGGAGTAAGGTGGCTTCACCAGGGTGTTCTTGCCCGCCGGCTTGTAGGTATCCCTTGAAGAGGTGGAGCTGTCCAGGCACGGAGGTGGAGAGCCGGCCAGGAGGATACCGTCGTGCATCTGCGCTACTTCATCCACGTAGGAGCGCGTCTGGCTGTCTCCATCCTCGCCTTCTCCGACCACGTCTATGTCGGTCTCTTCCGAAAGGATGGAGGCATCCGACATCTCTGAGCTCAGAGTCATGGCTCACGCACGGCCGTGCCCCTCCGACGCCAGATGAGGAAGACCGTGAGATGCACAAGCTGTCCCTTTCCTCCCTCTTCAGCAACTCGTATGAGGAGGGGGAGAGGAGAGGAGCACGCTTCGCCACCGGTGAGAATTATCCCTCCGTTTTGTCGCTATTTCCATATGTTTACAGGCTGTTTCCTTTTTCCAAAAAAAAAATCAACAACTATGAGGAGCGACCCCCGTCGATGGCAGGCTGAGAAACTGTGCTGTGAAACCTGCAAAAGGGCCAAACCTGAATCAAACAAGGGGCGGACCTTCTCGCGGTATTTATACTGCTGCTCTGATCACATGGCGAGGAAACGTCACCACGGCGAATGAAAAGAGAGGAACAAATTCAATCACAAAAAAGGGACTGAAAATGAGCTATGAGTGTTTTTATGGAAAAAAAAAAAAGTTTGGTGTGGCCTGCATCCTTTTTAGTGGCCATTCACGGTGGCCTACACTCCACACATAACCAATCTAAAGCTTTTATTCCACGCAATGTTTTCAACATTTTTTTAAAAAATCTTTAGAAAAGTCTAATTGGTGGTGTGGTCGTTGAAGGATCCGAGAGGATATTTTGACAAGCATTTTTTTTTCTTTGTTGAACTTTGTTAAGTTACCGAATGACATAAATTATTGGAGGCAACATCTGGATTTTTAATTTCCAAACAAACTACGCAGCGATGTATATATAAAATCATAAAGGCGTGAAATACACGCCCCCCACCCACGATATTTACATTTCTTATCAGACAGCCTTTGTCAGAGTCTGCTGCACCATACTCAGGCAGCTCGGTTTGCGTGATCCGGTAGTTATCTAGATTATCCGCGAGCCATTTGCAATGGAAAAGAGTCAGCTGTTAACTCGAATCAGTCACCGGTCACGCATGCAAGGCACAGAAAGAAGGCCGTGCCGTGCGTCTGGAGCACGTTGCACTGTGTGTGTACGTGTATCTGTGCCTGTGTTTGGACATTATTTGGCATTTTCAACATTTTCACTGAATTGCGGCAATTAGGTGTTTTTTTAATCAAAATTTATTTTAATGTATTTATTTTTTATACTGTTTATTAGATCAAAATTATCAATCGGCCTGCGTTTTAGGAAGCAGTATAAACACGTGATAAAAATGGTGTCAATAAAGTTAAAATTTTCAGAAGCTGCAGAATTTGTGTAAGCCAATTAAAACCCACGGTAATATATATTATACTTCTAACCTAATTGTTCTCCTTGCAGATACAGTTTGACTCTACCAGCATATAGTTTAGTTTATATTATTTGTTTCTTACTTCGGGGGAGCTGCAGTAAACCAAGTCAAGATGAATATGTCTGGCTTATTAAAATATGAATATCGAAGGACTGTGTTTTACGTGCCGCCCGACTTTACCGCCATATGTGACAGTTTACAAGTTGTCACCCTGCCACACTTACCCATTTTTATAGGAAACAACAGCAGACGTGACAAATAACTAAAAACAAAGCACGCACATTTAACAAAACAGCCTTTTAAATTATTTAGTTAATTTAATTTGACTTTTAAATATTTTTCTAAATTAAAAAAAGGAAGTCATCACTCAGGTTTTAATAAAGGCAGCTGACTTTTAAATGCAATTTCCACTTGGGGTATAAACGTGTGCTTCATTAAGTCTGACAGATGCTTAGGTCCTGTGTAGGACCTCTCGAACCTTTTAGACGTTCCCATTTGTCTAACGCCATCTAGTGGTGAACTTGTTTCACAATTAACAAAACACTACCGGTCTACCTCCTCCAAGGATTCAAGCTCC